GCTTCCACGGTCTCCAAGACTTGGATCCGGCTGCGGCGGGGTCGGTATATCGCGGCGTCCTATCCACGGCCTCCCGGGTGGCGAGCGACGGGATGAGGAAGTCCTTGTCCATCATCGCTAACAGACCAAGACGGTGGTGGAGAGCGGCGCCGCCACCGGTTGGCGACAGCGGTTGTTGTTGCTCATCAACGAACCGCACTCCATTTCCGCGCGTGCGACCGTGTACCCTCGTGTGCTTTCGTCCCAACTCCTTCACGGCTCGTTTCGAAAGCGGCGGGTGCGGAGGAGCGGGGGTGGCGGCACTGGTGGGCTGCGGCGGCGGAGGCGGCAGGCTCGGGGGCGAATGGGGCGGCGTTGTTGCGGTCGACGGTGGGGCTGATGATGGGGCGACGGAAATTGGCGACGGGGCTAAGGATCCTGTGAAGATCGGCGGGGAAGCGGGCGGCGGCGGTGCGGTGGTCGCTGGTGCAGGCGGGACGTAGGTGTACCTCCTTGATGGCGGCGGCGGTGCGGCCTCGGCCGCAGGTACGGCGGTGGCCGGCGAGGGCGCCGCGGCGACCGAAGAACCCCCCCCGATGCCCGGTACCGGCGCCGGCGCCCCGGCCCTGCGGTTGACCCACACGACGTTGTAGGTGAGGGCGAGGCGACCTGTGTCAGCGTGAAAAACGACGGCGGTAGACGTCGAGTGGTTGTTGACGCCGTGCAGGTAGAAGCACCGTGGAGTGCCCATGCCGTTCATGTTGGCGAGGAGCCACGAACTTCAAGGTGTCGCTCTTTGCCCGCACCCAGTACCCCCCTTTCCACCGCAATGCGCTGTCCACGAACATGATCAGTTACCGGGAGCCGTCCAGCGCGTCAGAGAATGGGCCCGTGAGGTCGATGTGGACTTTGCCGAACGGTACCGTCGCGCGGGTGCCACGCCGCGGCACCGGTTCCCACCGGCCGTTCGCCTCCACGCAGCCCACACATGGCTGCATCTCCCCCACCAGTCGTACGCCCTGCTGCTTGGCCGTTTCACTCAATAAAAATTCGTTTACATGGCCGGTGGAGGCACGGAACAAATGAATGTCAATGGTCGGCGTGGATTTTCCTACCGACAACGGGGAAGCCCCGGGGGCGATAATTGCCAAGGCATGCGAGAGGGAGGGGGGAGCTACGGTTTGCTGCTCACTGCATCCAGCAACGAAACCCTTCAGGCAATCCAATTCATCACTCATCACGGCAAACGCGGGGGGAGGGGGTGTTGCAGAGTCGCAAACATCAAGCGCATCCGGAAAAAATCACCCCGTGGGACCGAGTCTATTCCATCCATCAGGCCTACATCAAGGAACATGCTCATTACCCTGAAAGGAAAATGGTCCTGGGGGATGAGGGGGTTGATCACAACTTCACGAAAATCGCTCGGGTCAACGACGGAGGGAGAAGCAATCCCAGACGACTTCACGGCAGCTGTGATTACAGGCTGGTAGTCGGCAATAATCGTTGGCACTACATCTACGTCGATGGGTGGGAATGCACAACGCGGGATCACTAAACCGGATGGTACGCTCGAAGTCGCACTCGCAGACGAAGGTACAACACCGGCAGCGAATCCACCGGCGGACTGGAAGCTTGGACTCGCACTGGCACACGGAGGTACAACACCGGCAGCGGCACCACCGACGCACTGGAAGCTCGGATTCGCACTCGAACTCGAAGGTACAACACCGGCAGCGACTCCACCGGTGGACGGGAAGCTCGTACTCGCACGTGTGTCCGCTCCTGTGTTTGGGGGGAAAGGGGGGTTTGCGACAACAAGGCCTGTCCCAACGCTAGGCGGGGGGGCTCCGGGAGACACACGAGGGAGGGCATCCGGACCGAGGGTTACAGCACTACCGGTATACGTGGGAGGCAAGCGAGTGGCTCAAAGAGAAATCCTACATCGGAGAAAGCAAAGGAAAGCTTGCCATTAAAGAGATGCACGTCATTTTATCCAACGTAATTCTCTGCCTACGCTGCGTATGGTGCAGAGAAAACAGATTGAACGTGATGCCGGGGACTACGTACACGTCCGACATCTGCACGCAAAAATCGGTCTCGCCCGAAGGGCCAGGCATGTGAAATGCCATGTTGATGCCTTCAACACATTGCACGCGCAGATGGGCACCATTCCCTACTTGGATGAACTGTTTTCCTGCTGGGATCGGCTTCATGTCGAACATATTTTCTCTACTGCTGACAACCGTGTTGCTTGCGCCGCTGTCGGCCCAAAATTGCTCGCTACCAATTTGCGAAGGGCGACTCTGAACAGATAAAGCAAAACCACTACTATTCTAACTTGCTACCACACTTAGAAAGATCTCGCCTTGTGACACAAAACGTGTCTTGAGGAAGCGAAGATGCCCAGAGGATCCGGCTGCGTCGGGAGGAGGCGAATGGTACGGGGCATGGGTCGAGTGCTGCTGCGGCTACGGCTGCTGACGGCGGTGGCGGAGGCTGCGGCGGTGGCTGCTGCTGCTGCTGGTAGTACGTTGTCGGAGGCGGGTAATACGGCTGCTGCTGGAAGCTGTAGTCTGGCAAAGAATGCTGATACTGTGGCTGATGCTCCCACCCCCCATACTCGTTACTATACGCGGTCCCCTCATGAGGCGCGGCACCATACGGTTGACTTACATCTTCATGCCCGTACGGGGGCCGCCGCTGCTGCTGCGGTGTACGAGGGGGAGCTGGATGTCCATGATGCTGCTGTCCTCCGTAGCCGCCGTGAGTCCCGTGCCGGGGCCCACCCCCCCCAGGTCCCCCACTGCGGCTCGGCTGCTGCGGCGGCGGTCCCTGATATTGCTGTTGCTGCTGAGACGGCTGTTGTTGCGGCGGCTGTTGCTGTCGTTGGGGCTGCTGCTGTTGCTGAGGCTGCTGCTGCTTGGTCTCCTGCTTCTTCCGTTGCCGACGCTGGGTGCAGCACTCGCTGTTGGTGTGCGACGAGTACGGATGATAGTCGCAGGGCCTGTCTCCGTCTGCCCTGTTGTAGCTGCTCCGACCGCCTCAATTGCCGTCCTGACCCCCGCCGTTCCCACTGGACCCATTTTGGACACGTCCGTCGCCCCGGTTCCCACCGGCAGCGACGAAAGCGTGCCCCGCGCCATTCTGCGGCTCCCCCTCCTGTGCGGTCACCGTATCCTGATAGGCATCTTTCACGACCTTTTCAAGGTGCTGACGGGTCAAATTGGGGGGCGGAAGGGCACGCAGCGTAGCTTTCTCCATCTTGTACTCGGACGGCAAGTTGTACACAACGTGCAAATTGGCATGATCGTAGGGGTATGTGACGCCGTGTGAGGCTAACCTACTGCGCAAAACTGCAAATCTACCAAAGTATTCCTGCGGACTTTCACCCACTCGCATTTTTATGGCATGGTATTCCGAAGTCAACCGTGTTTTTTCTGCTCTCGCCTGGGGTTCGTAATATGCGAGAAATAGTTTCCAACCCCCACTGGGACTACCATCAGTGATGATCTGGGTCAAGACAGGCATGTAGGTGATTGTCGTGATCATCAAGTGCCACGCCGTGATCGTCTTTTCTACCGTTTCAGGCGAGCGCATCCTACGCAAGTCCTCCATGTCTACTCCTTCTAGCCCGACTGGAATTCTGTGGTCACTCAATACCACTTCCCTGACTCCTTCGTGCGCAAACATAGCAATCATGTTCGATCGAAAAATCAAAAACCTTGCCTGTATATCCTCCCCTTGCCCATACATGCCATCCCACGGCGCTAGGCGCTTAACCTCAGTCATGCTAAGAGTCGCTGCGCTGCTGGTACTATACCCATGTCTGCGGGTGATATCTGAAGACGGCTGGTCAGGGCGTCCGCGGGAGTGCGGGCGATGTCGTCTGCGGACGGGCCGGCCGATGGTCGCCCCGCATGTTGTTGGTGGCGTGTCTCGTGGTCGTTCCCGCTCCGGACGTGATCTGTCCTCTGCTGCTGCTCGTCTTGTTGTCTTGTAATCTCGGCCAGTCTCGCTGCTACCCTCACGTTCACCAACTCGTTGATCCGGGCGTCGTCGTCCACTGCTTGACGGTCGCTCTCTCTGTCTCGGTTTCGGTCGGGGGTGCTCATCGGTGACTGCTGCTGATCGCCTCAAAGCGATGTAACTCCAAACTAAGCTCGACGCGAATATCGTTGACGACGTGTCATACGCTAGCGTGATCGATCATTCGGGTGGCTCAGTTCTGTGTCCTGACTCCTTCGTGCGCAAACATAGCAATCATGTTCGATCGAAAAATCAAAAACCTTGCCTGTATATCCTCCCCTTGCCCATACATGCCATCCCACGGCACTAGGCGCTTAACCTCAGTCATCCTAAGAGTCGCTGCGCTACTGGTACTATACCCATGTCTGCGGGTGATATCTGAAGACGGCTGGTCAGGGCGTCCGCGGGAGTGCGGGCGATGTCGTCTGCGGACGGGCCGGCCGATGGTCGCCCCGCATGTTGTTGGTGGCGTGTCTCGTGGTCGTTCCCGCTCCGGACGTGATCTGTCCTCTGCTGCTGCTCGTCTTGTTGTCTTGTAATCTCGGCCAGTCTCGCTGCTACCCTCTCGTTCACCAACTCGTTGATCCGGGCGTCGTCGTCCACTGCTTGACGGTCGCTCTCTCTGTCTCGGTTTCGGTCGGGGGTGCTCATCGGTGACTGCTGCTGATCGCCTCAAAGCGATGTAACTCCAAACTAAGCTCGACGCGAATATCGTTGACGACGTGTCATACGCTAGCGTGATCGATCATTCGGGTGGCTCAGTTCTGTGTGTTGGGAGTGTAGAGCAGCTGGGCCATGACGGGCCGTGATAGGGGAGGGACGTGAAGGAAAACGTATTGTACTCTTCGGGGGCGTGCTCGTGCTCGTAAATCTGTCACAAAAGCAAGCACGCTTTACGCTCATCACGCTCAAACTACCTAACGGATCTCTCTGATTCCTCCGCATCTCATCACTGCAATTTCCGTACGTACGCACTGAAGATTTTACCCGTCATACTACGCTACGAGTACCCCCAATATATCTTAAAAACCACTTGCAAGAAGGTGATTCCATTTTGTCAAAAAGTGTAGATCACCCTTCAAATCTTGGACGACCACGGAACCATGCACTGGCTTCCACAGATTGGAAAACGTATTGTACTCTTCGGGGGCGTGCTCGTGCTCGTAAATCTGTCACAAAAGCAAGCACGCTTTACGCTCATCACGCTCAAACTACCAAACGGATCTCTCTGATTCCTCCGCANGATCTCTCTGATTCATCCGCATCTCATCACTGCAATTTCCGCTCGTACGTACTGAAGATCTTACCCGTCATACTACGCTACGAGTACCCCCAATATATCTTAATAACCACCTGCAAGAAGGTTATTCCATTGTGTCAAAAAGTGTAGATCACCCTTCAAATCTTGGACGACCACGGAACCATGCACTGGCTTCCACAGATTGTGCTCAGTTTCGTCACGCGGCGAGGAGTATCCGCGAAGAGGGTCCAATTCCCTTTGCGCTTTGGCGTCACCATCCACCTTACCCACGGATAAAAACTTGACCGTAGTTGCTTGGACCTCACGCTAAATCCTTTCGCGCACACGGTCATTTGTACGCCGTCGTTTCCGAGTGCGTAGGTCAGATGGCATAATCATTTTGACTACCCACGACACTGCTGCTTGTTGGTTGAAGAATATCTTCTGCGTCCTTTCCGCTTCGGTCTTCAAGGTCTGCACCCATTGGTAAACTGTAGTAGGTTGTTTCGTGTTTGGTCTCTACATTGCGCGTGCGTATCTTGGTTCCCTGGCTGCCTGCATCTCCTTTCCGTTTCCCCCGTGGAGCGCATTACCTACCTCCACCCTTCTTCATTTCTGTAGGTGTGACAGGAACGAGAGATTTTCGCATTTTGAAGTTTCATATTTCATCTCGTCTCGTCCGCAACAGCCACGCCATTGCTCACACGCATGCAGCTTTGCTTTCTTCCTCGGACTGTCTTTGCGAAAAACCTTACGGTAGGCCATCTTGAGTGCAGGTTGCACCATTCGCGCTTTCGGAATGCTCGTTTCGTCCTTGCCGAAAATTCAAAGTTTATCTTTTACGTTTTCTATGGTCTCTTCGGAAACAGCCACGCCATTCCTCAGCACGTTGCCTTCGTCCTCGGGCACTGTCTTTGCGAGTGAGCCTTTAGTATGCCACTGCAAGAAAAGGTTAGACCTTTCGCGCTCTCGACATGCTCGGCTCGTGTTCCCCAAGTATTCCACGTTCATCTTATATTTTCCTTTTGTCTTTTGGCAACATACACGGAAGTTCTTTGCCTTCGTCCTCGGATAATGTCTGTGATTAAGCTTTCGGAATGCCTTCCTGAGTATTGGTTGAATCTTAACGCTTTCGGGATGCTCGGTACTTGGTGACCGACTGTCCCATGCTTTCATGCTAGTTCAGGATTTTTAATCATACGCTCACGTATTTTTTGGGGGGTCATCGTCTTCATTCTTGCGCCACCCTCGAATAGGTTTCATTAAGAGCATATTTCGAATCTTCTTCTCGCCTATCGGCAAGCTAATTTTGTAAGATTACATCCCTTCACCGGCAGCCTGCCGTGTTTGAATGCCTGGAGTGTTCGATCGAATTTCGTTCCATGCCACACTGTGCGCCGTGTAATACGAGCGCGGACTTACCTTCACTCATGGGTTTGATCTCCGTTTTCGATCTGCTCGTTACGTATGTACCAATATACCTACGTGTGCAATGGAAGCGGTCCCTGACGGTGCGAAAAAGAAGTCACTTGCGCGTAACGTGCGACTTCTGCACATGATGTACCAACTACTTCGTTCACGTGCTTCATCCTTCACTCATGCTACCACGTGCACACCATGCTCGACACGTACCCGGTCAAGCTGGAATCAGCGCCACGCCTGTCTTCACAAAATCTCTGTGTCATGTTCGGGCTGTTCCAAACTTGCCACGAGCGCAGCTTGTCCATATTCTCCTCACATGCAACAACTTCTTCATCATCCACAAAAATACCAACCGCTATATCTTGTCAACTCTTTTCGAATTGTGGCCCCTCCGCCCATTGGGGACGGGGGCGGCCTTTCGGTTAACCTTTTATCATTCACGAGGCAACTCGTTAACTGCTCGTCGTGTAGTCGAAAACGTTTTAGTCCGTCGCGTTCTCGGGTGTACAATCATGCTCATACAATACAGAGGGTCAGACGTTTTTATGACTGTCAACAGACAAGGAATAGGCCAGTCCACGAATAGTTGTGAGCGTGCGCAAGCTGTATGTCAAAAAAAAAATCCTTCACTGTCCTGGTATACCCTGCTCGGTACTTGATGCATGGAATAATGGCCGGCATCGATAGACCAAACCGCTAAACGGGTAGGTGGAGCAAACGGGCTTGTGGGGTGAACAGTCCTACAGCTCAACCGGATACGCCACCGGCGTCGCCTCGGGACCAGCCTGTGAGTCTGGCCTCACCAAGAAGCGGGGCTATTCAGCCAGTCAGCGAGGCGGGCTAACGCCGCGTACTCCGAGGGTCGACAAAACAGGAGGAGACGTCACAAGTGAACGTTCACGGAGCGGGAGCAGGAGAGAGAGAGAGGGCAACCTAACCACCGAGGAGGTGCGCATCCCATCGCGGCGACAAAACGTGACGCGAAGGATTCCGGTGCACGCGTCCGTCGGGCGGGAGGAAAGACCCGGTCGGGCAGGAAACGCAGGAGGAGGCCCTCTGCTAGGAATACAGGCAGCCTACCCGATCGTGAGAGCATGATCGCGGAGGAGTATTTACTACGAGTAGCAGAGCGAGGCGAGGAAGGAGGAAACGGCGAGGAAATATCGTGTTGATTCTCGGCGCGCGGGAGTCACGGCGGGAACCCAAGACAAGTCGTTCGTCAGCCAAGCAAGCGGAATGCGGGTTGGAGACTTTCTGCCCCAGCGGTGCAATCTTCAGGCCAACCAACAGGAAAAAAGCGCACGGGCGCATGGAATGCGGATGGGTTACACATAGCTTCATCCTAACCATGCTGGAGTCGGACTGACTACCTCCTGGCAATTAACGGGATGAGGTTGCTCGTCGTTTGGATCGTGCGAACGGACGGTTGTTTGACAAGTCGATGATCTCCGATGAGCAGGCGGTGCGTGGGCCATGGATATATCGCTGGATACGCGAAGCTGTTGGCGACCATGATTTTCTACAATGATGAAGCGGCATTTGGCGGTGCTCATTCAGCTCCATCCCAGCTGCCCAAAAGCGTCAACGGCGACGTCGAAGTCTACGTGACATTGATCCGCCATGCTATCCTCCAACCCCACGAGAAGAAGAGCACAGCCACCTGTCGGTTTCTGTTTCGCTTTTTTCTTGTGCTTGCAGAGTTACCTAGGGAGACCATGTCGGTGACAGAGTTTGCCGACAAAGGATGGGGCGTCGATCCACGAGGAAAGGGGAGCGACGGCGACGAGTCACCGACGAGAACTGCGTGCTGTAGCTGTCCGAGAATTCGTACAGCGGCCCTGACACAAAACAGTCAGGCTTGCGTGCAGTTTCTATCCACAGACGGCCTTGTGCAACAGGTGCGCAAGGATATGTCTTCGGCCTCGGTGGGTGCTCCTGAAACCGGGTCGATCGAAGATTCCGCCCGACCCCAAGCACCCGTCAAGACTCGACCGCAGCCACCTTCGTGTGCTGCCAATGCCCTGGCACTATTCCTTGCCTCGAGGAAGCAGCAGGAATTGCAAGCGCGGCGCAGCTCGACGTGGAGGCGAGGACATCGCGACAGCTTTGAACAACGACATTTGCTCCGGCGACGGCGCAGAATCGAAGAACGCCGAGCTTGAGTACCCCAAGTCGGACAAGAACGGTGACGGTTTGATCGGTGCACTCGACCATAAGGTCAACTCTGGGTCTACGCGTTTGGTTTTTGTCGTACACCTTTGTCGTGTGTCGCCTTGGATCTTCGAGGCCGTGGCGCCATGTCTTCGTGTGTACGTATGCAGAGCTACATAAACGTACGTGATTGTCGATTCGTAGTTTCACCTATTGGTCTTCGTCTTAATTCATGCACATTGCTTTAGGTTTGAGGCAGTAACAGGATTTACCTGCTAACTGCTCGACTATGCTGCACTGCACGGCAACGCTTCTTGGTTCCCAGCCCTCCCTCCCTATTTCAAGTACACCACCAGTTGCACTAAAGGAGTTTTCAAAAATCAAATTTTGGTTCATGTTCATGGTATTCTTGATCACCCCGGGGATCGAAGTCCGCTGGATGTTGACGAACTAGTATGTCATATTTATGAGATTTTGATCTTTTTTGGATCAGTTGCTGGTTGGCCGGCCAACTGCTTGGGTCTATCTTCAACGTCTAGTGACTTTTCATCCTCGGTTGCCACCCACCATAGACTATACATCGACAAAGAGTACGGCAGTCTTCCTTCATCTTATACTCAACTTCCTCCCAAACTCTCATCGCTATCCGTCTCGATATGGCTGCCCCCTTCGTTGGGGGCGTGGGAACAATCCTTAACCGTAGTTACTGTACATGTACTCGCGTCCTCATCGTTGTGAGCCTCACACATGGAGTCACTGCTGCACCATCCCTGCCGCCGTGATTCGTGGGTGTAAACGCATGCATGGAAGATCGTTTACCACGGAGAGCCAGTTGTGGGAAAAGAAAATTTATTAGCCCGGTCACGTAGAGTAAATCACACGTACGCGTACACCATCCAACCTCCAAGATATTATGTCTGATTACGAAGAGGAGGAGGGAGGGGGGATTGTGATTGTTGTCGTGCATGCTGTAGTCGCCAGACCATTGAGCTCGCATCCCTTACAAAACCTGCACGGAGCATGCGGGACCAGCCTCTCACGTCACCAAGCGTAAAGCACCTTAAGGTATTCGGCGAGTCGCATGAAGGGTGCGCCGCATCCTGCTTAGGACGTTCGGCATCTTGTGCTGACTTCTTTTGCGTACGCATGACCGCGGCGTATGCCTTGATTTATTTTCTGGTGCTGTCGCTTTCAGAGACAATTTCAAGCTCTGTACCATTTTTATCACCGCGTCATGCGATCATCCTCTTTGGGCAGAGTGAGGGTTCTCGACCTGCACTCTTCTCCGACCAACATTGTGGCTACCTCCAGACAATTGATAGAGGCAGAAAAAAGAGCGGTAACCTGGTGGCAGAGTGCACGAAGTGATCTGACTGTTGAACAACTTCGTTGCCAAGGGACGAAAACCAAACCCCGATGGCAACCACCGGGACGGGGATAACATCACTATGTTTCATTTCGGCAGATGACTATGTTTCCATTCGGCAGCTTTTTGACGTGTTCACGCCTTGTTGCTCTTGCACTGCGATTGCCACCACAGATATACCATTCAACTTCTACTTCGTGAGATTCTGTCGTCTTGGTCACCTGTTTATGTAGTTCAATTTTCGCTCGAAAGGTGAACGCTTGTCACCAGATAAATCAAGGGTTCTCACGTGTTCACACAGCGGATCCCAGGGTGACTACGGTGCGGTGAAGAGGCATTTGAATGCTGTAGGAGGGTCAATCGTTATTACCTACTGTTGCAATATTCACCATAGGCAGTAACACCGACTCCCAACAGCAATATTTTGCATAGCCTTGTGTCGACTTATTTCAGTATGAAAGCGTGAGGCATGTCCAAAGCTTCCCCGGTAGGAAATATGCTAAATAGTTCCACAACCAAGGTTGTGCCATGGTTTCAAGCCCCTTCACTCTCAATTGCCCTCGGAGACAATTCACTGAACATAACGCCGGCACCCCCCACCCCTCCGTTTGGTTTCAGATTGAAGGTGTGATAAGTCTAGGCGAACTGGGACGATCGATGGCCCACTGGACTGCGGCGGTAGCCCTTCTCTTCGGTTTCACCGCGACGCAGACGGCCGCGCAGGTAGTTCACACCCTGTCGAGCCTCGCCCCTGATAACCGAAACAAGAGTAGGTGAGAAACCCTTGAATCTTTACTGCCACGGTCCGAGCAAAAAATATGCAGAATAGGCGGTATCTATTATATCGGAGGTGATGGGAGTATCGGTATGCACGGCGTGACAACAAAGCACACGTTCAACTACACTCGGGTGCCCGAGATATTGTTTGACACGAATTTATGGACGATTTGAATACCTACATATATATTAGGTCCGTGTATTCGATGTGAACATATCCTCAACAATTTAATGTGGTTGTCGTTTGTGTGGTTTCTAACCTTTGAATACCGATGACGTTGGTGGAAAGGATTCCTGGCGCTCTGGCTTGACAGCATCATCCGTGAGAGTGAAAATAACGACTTCGGGCTGGACGTCACGCCGGCGTTTTTTCGAAATACCAAGTGCCCCCTGGCGTCCAAAACAACGGTAAGGCGTCACAGATGTTTGCAAGCCCCTCGTCGGTTTCCTCTCGAGCCAAGCAACGACTCCGAGTCCACCCCCTCGCCTTCTATTTTGCCGTCCATGGACGCCGCGAGAGACCCGACGACGGCTACCTGTCTCGCGTTTAGAGCCGAATTTCCAAAAATGGCTTTTAATGGGTAACCACGGGGTCGTCGATGCGTTTTTTGAACACGCAGGGTGAGGAAATCTCCGGGTGGGAGTGCTTCTTTCAGCCAATGGCTCGCTTGTGCGTCTTTGATTCCGACGAGGTAAGACGGTCGGCACAGCAGATACATGTCGCAATCGGTCCTTCCCGTCGACCCTGGCCTCGTCGACGACAGGTAAGAATACGACCAATCGCTAAGCCTATACAAATATATGCTTGTACACTTGAAAAACGTCGGCCCGCGCACGTGCTCGCCGTACACTTGACTGCCTATGATATCGGTCCTCCGAACCCGCCTCAATGTCCTGATCGTACAGGATCTCGGCAAGTTTTTGATGGCCAACTACGAGGAAAGCCAAAGGATCGAGGTTCCGCAACGATCCTCCAGAACACAGCTTCACGACGAAACTGAGACTGCTGCGGTGAGACCCTGCCAGTACCCTCTTGTCTTGCCGGACGGGGTCCAAACGGCATGGGTCATACCGTAGAATGAATAGACTAGTCTATGCATTTTCAGCGACCAGCAAATACGTCCCTGGTAATGCGCATATTCCTTGCAGTTTGATACACACGAAGGCGTGGTAGAGATGCCAAAGTCGTCGCGCAACATGCCAGGGTCACGAATAGCCCACAACATGGCAAATAATAATGGAAGTTCATGCAGACTCCAAGAGAGTTTCCGTTGGACCTCGGTGTTGGATGAAACTATTGTCCGCTTCCTCCGTGAAAGCTGCACGCCGAGGCGCCTGACAAAATGACCTCGGCGGAAATCGCTCAACAACATTGCTGTAGTATGTTCCACATGAGCCCCGATATTTGGTCTGACACTCAACAAGAATATTTCGATTGAGTGTATCGTCTCCTCTGGGAACTTGAAAGTCTCAAAACGTCTCGTTACCGTGCTACCTCTGCCGAGCCGTTTGGACTGTTGGAACGAGCGTTGCTGTCCTGAGCCCTAAAATCGTTCGCATGGTTTGTCAATGCCATGGAACTCCACGGACCATTCCATGAAGGCCTTTCATGGGCCTGCGGTGTGCTAAGTAGCCCAACGTTTGGCATGGAACGGTTCACGGATACTCTCGGAGCCCCTGGGTAAACCTTTGAAACTCTATATTATCCCATGGGGCTCGATGATATTCGCCATGCGACCTACCATGGTGATTTCGTCGGAAAGCCGATCAACCGCCACGGAACAGTCCACGACAATGTCTTTAGGATCGACAAACGAAGATATGCCTTTCAATATACATAGTCCCTTCCTCTCGTCTACGTCCGGTGTTTGGCTCCAACGTCGAAGAAGATGTTCGATCGATGCTGGGGCTCGTTCAATCAATGCCGCACCCGTATCATGTTTGGGCCATTTCGGCACTTCACGCTCGGAAACAGGCGCTACTTGGGTATGTGTATTCGAACATGCAGCCTTGGTTCAAGGAGGACACGGAACGGATGCTTCTACAAAGCGACGTGGATTCTGTCAGGTGCGGAAGATAGCGGCAAGGTACTTTGGTCGGTGTAGTCTCAAGTACTAACCTCTCTTCCTGTGATGCGTGTGAGTTGAATCATCTGAATGACTCGCGCCTGACAATATAATCGTGGCAATCAGGTCCGCGAGGTACGTGGCAATTCACGTTCGGCGGGGTGACAAGCTTACCCTCAAGGAGGCGTCGAGGACAGAGGTTGAGGTACGGGTCTACTGTATGTAATGATGTTGCGGACCAAAAAGAACATCGTCGTCAATGAACGGCGACACTTGCGTGTCCTGTAACCTCCTAATTTCCAACCGAGACACTTGTTCGAAAGTCTTTAAGTGCCTTTGTGTTTTACCCGCAACCGCGTGTTCTCGAAATGTCACCACTCAAAAATGCTCCATACCGAACTGGTGATAGTTTTGTTTCCTCTCGATAGGTGTACCTTCAAGCTGCGGCGTCCATCCTTCGGAATTCGACTGGAATTGTGAATGGGCCAAACTCCGTCAGTGGCTTGTGGGTATCATCTGACGACCCCAGTGTGTTACCGGAAGTAAAGGCGCTGGCTTCTACCTACTTTCCCAACGTTCAAGACGAGCGTGTGGTCTCAATTTCGTTCAGAGCGGAAGGACTTCCTCAGTATGAGAACAAAGACCAGCTGCCAACAACTTCTCATCGCATGGTACGTACTGTTGTAGGTTTTTGTACAACGTCTCGCCTGTGGTGTAANATGGGCCAAACTCCGTCAGTGGCTTGTGGGTATCATCTGACGACCCCAGTGTGTTACCGGAAGTAAAGGCGCTGGCTTCTACCTACTTTCCCAACGTTCAAGACGAGCGTGTGGTCTCAATTTCGTTCAGAGCGGAAGGACTTGCTGAGTATGGGAACAAAGACCAGCTGCCAACAACTTCTCATCGCATGGTACGTACTGTTGTAGGTTTTTGTACAACGTCTCGCCTGTGGTGTAATTTCAGAGAGCCTTTGCCATGATTGTCGCGGTAGTATCGTTTGTGAGGTACATTCCACCATTCGCCGTTCACTCGCCATATCTAGGCGTTCGAAGTCTCACCCGAAAACGATGTTCGAGGCAAGTGTGGCCCACGAGGAAGGGGAGACTCGAACTCGTTGCCTGACGTGAATATGTTGCCGTTCAAGAGGGCTAACGCCGCTGCCTCGGGCACATACAAGATGCTCAGGAGGACACTAATGCACACCCGTCGCCGACCGTTTTCGACGCACTCAGACGTACGAGCTGTACGTTTTACTGCATGCCGAGCTGCGCATGATGTCTCACGCCGACGTCTTCGTAGGAACGTTCTCGTCCAACATTGGTCGGCTGGTTTACCTTTTGAGGGAGATGAATGGGCGCCCGCGCTACTCTACTCAAAGCGTCGATGTACCTACATGGTACTTCGGACGACGCGAGTTGGCCATAAATAGCAGCCTTGACACAGGCAACCGAGGGACGATCATCAGTGTGGAAAAAGACGGTGGTGCACATTAGCTTTGGGGACCGGGGTGAAGAGGTGATGGTGCCTCCGTACGCCTGAAGGGGTTGGTAAATGTTGATGTTATTAAGTACCCGATGCGGCCGATCCCTCTGCCTTGCAATGGAAACCGGACGAACAAAAAATGTGGGCACCCGTAGCTGGATCCGTCTTGCTTGTTGGAAATTGCGGCGTTCGTTGGAAATATTTTAGTTTAGTGCGAGCAGGTTGTACATTGAAATCGTCAGATTCGTTGCGGGCGGTTGTCTTGTGCTTTTGTATTCGGAGGTAGCCGTGTGAAGCAACGTTATTCTCATGGTGCGATGGCGTTTTTTAGGCGTCAAGGGAAACTAGGGTCAAGTAGTGCTTCTCCAGACAAGCTTGTACCTTTGTTTTTATTGGGATGGTCAGGGTGCGGTTTTTCTCGACGGTGCGGTACGGTGCGGTCTAACTGCACCGACCATGATATTCCGAGGTGAGCAGCACAGGACCGCCCCGTGAAATATCGAGATTTCCAAAACAGCACCACACCGCACCGTGGTACGAAACAACCGCACCGCACAGTCATATTTTGAGATGAGAAAAACCGCACCGTCAGGATTCACCAGTAACCGTAGTTGCGGAGTCATGACGGTGTGGTTTGTGTCACCCCGTAGCCAAAACCGCCGTACACCGCGATGAAAATCGCAGTAAACCGTGGTTGGAACCGCAGAAAAGGCACGCGTCCACCATTGCGGCAGGGGAAGCCTGTGCCGTCGTCCAACATCCCATCCTGGTGCAGTGTTACGGTTCGAGACATTCATTGGTCCGCAAGTACACCCCCACAGGGGTAGTTGGCCGCATACGGCGGAGCCTCTGCAATTTCTGTCCGGACTCGCGCTCCTCTCTGCTCACAAACAACCTACCATCCTGAGCTTGAACATATAGAATAAGACTATAACATCCACAAGGAGGCTGTTGCCCCTGCACTACACCGGCCACTACAGCTGGTACGAGTGTCTTCACTACTCATCGCATTCGGTGCAGTCGTTCGATTGCTCAAAGAGAGGTCAGTGTGTGTGCATCGCTCATGAGAGAATACCTCTCAGAAGCATCAATTCCCTTTCTCGCGCCAGAATCCGTGCCATGAACGGGAGCTATAAGTACTTACTGATTACACATTAGACCTCTACAGTTACGTGCTAACCACTCGTTACATGGTGTACAAGCCGTACGCACGCCCTCGCGCGCGTGTGAGTTCTGTTGTTACATGCTTGTACCCCTTTGCCGCTCTGCTGTTCCGCTGTGTTCCATTTAAAACTCACGGCCGCTGTGGCCGTTTCATGAACTTTCTGTTGTCAAAATCCATTGCATTTCCACTAGCGATTCTTCCCTGCGTGTGAGCACGCACGCGATGTGTTTCTCGGCGTGTGATCAAGCTCCCGCTTGTGAGTGTACGCTGTTTTGTCCCCGTGTACGTTTAGGCCATAACAGCGACTTTGGTCGGCTGGCATACATAGTGCGTCACCGTGCGGTTGCCTCCACATACGTTCATTTGCACGCAATGATTTGCGCATCACCGGGGTGCAAGTTCCCGGGATGCCTGCTTGTGATGGCAAGGGGTATTATTAACGACAAAAAAATAAGGAACATTTCACGGAGGAATCGTTTTCTCTTGAACATATATGGAGGCGTTTTTCCCCGAAAACGTGGAACGAGGGAGCTGGGATTTTGGGGGGCTTGCTCCTTTCACAGTTCCGGGGAAAAACGCCCCACTTTTCCAGGTAGCCGAAGCAGACACCGGTCATGCGTGCTGCCGTCATCACACCACACCTAGACAGCGCCAACGACACCCCAAAGTGCCTCCCACGGCAAGTCAACCACCATGGCTGAGCGCGGGAAGCGCCAGGATCCCAAGAACCCCGCAGCGCAACGCCGGGAGAAGCGCCGTCGACGAGCTGTCGGCGAGGAGAATGCGTCCCAGGAAGACAAGAGATTCGCGGTCCTGGGTCTTTTGAGGGCCGTAGTAGTGGCGGCGGGCGTCGTGGCAGCAGGAGAAGCTCATCGTAGCCACTACCCTCAGGAACGGCAGCTCAACTACGAGCCCGAGCGACTTCCGTGGGTCCAACACGAGGTGGACCTCGATCAACGGCACGGCTGGCGGCGGTCGTACCGCATGGAGAAAGGCAATTTCCACAAACTCGTCGAGCTACTCCGCCCTTTGCTGGAAGTCCACGCCTTCTTCGGCGGTGAGTGTTGATGTGTAGAAGCAGCCGCCCACGGCACGTATGCGTAAGGCTANGGGCCGTAGTAGTGGCGGCGGGCGTCGTGGCAGCAGGAGAAGCTCATCGTAGCCACTACCCTCAGGAACGGCAGCTCAACTACGAGCCCGAGCGACTTCCGTGGGTCCAACACGAGGTNTCGTCGAGCTTCTCCGCCCTTTGCTGGAAGTCAACGCCTTATTCGGCGGTGAGTGTTGATGTGTAGATGCAGCCGCCCACGGCACGTATGCGTAAGGCTCCGTCTGGTGTTTATGTTTGTAGAACCGGGGACGAGCAACTCAAAACCAAGGGAGAAACGATATTCCAGCTTTAGAATACTGTACTGCTGTATGTTCCTGGTGTCTTTTTCAAAAATATAAACTCGCTCGTCGACGTAGCAGCACCATGCAAGAATATACAGCAGTGCCGCAGCATATCTACAGCAGTGCTGTTGTAGCATGCATATTGTACAGCAGCAGTCATTGTATGAGAACAACGCTGAGGTACTATTTGCGACGCTGACGACGGTGCAGCAGTAGTAATAGTTAATCACAATAGACGCCGGCACCACTAAAACAACGTACATGCCTCGTCGGGAGCCACTGCAGAATGTCGTATCCCGCAATGACACAGCAGCATTCGACACTGCTCCTCATGTGCAACATATTGCGTGTGTAAGTGATTAACACAGAGCCGTCTCAGTACCGTAGTCAGGAGGTGGACTGGGCCGGCAATCTGACGAGTTTGTGGAGAACATGCGTCCCCCGTCAAAGGTTGCTAACTAGGTGCTGGCGATTGCAAACATGCCCCCTCTGACACTCGTATGACCTGCAAAGACTATCTGCGCGTCGCTCGGAAACCCCACAGCACTGCGATCGCCACGCAACGGCGCCATAGCTGTGGAAGTTCGCGTTGCCGTGGCGTTGAGGATCCTGGCTGGCGCCAGTTTCTGGGATGTCACCCTCATGTTTGGCTTGCACACTTACCTACTTTCGAGACCCTGGGCGGGGCTTGTAGGCCGTCTTACCCTGTGTACACTTTGTGTGCGCCCTGTACATGGCTTCTGTGNTTACCTACTTTCGAGACCCTGGGCGGGGCTTGTAGGCCGTCGTACCCTGTGTACACCTTGTGTGCGCCCTGTACATGGTTTCTATATTGTACAAGGTATGAGTGCTCAGCCCTGTAGGGGTTTCATGTTGTACAGGCACCGTCTACGTGTCCTTGTACGTGGTCAGGAGCCTGCAGGGTTGGGTTAGGGTCAGGTCGACAGGGCGAAAGAAAGCACAAGGTGTCCACGGCGACGCCTACAAGGTTGGCTTCCTATACAGGGTGGGCTGTCCCGGCCTTACCCTGGGCCAGGGCCCTGTAGGGCTCAATTACGCCCAGTGCGACAANCATGTTGTACAGGCACCGTCTACGTGTCCTTGTACGGGGTCAGGAGCCTGCAGGGTTGGGTTGGGGTCAGGTCGACAGGGCGAAAGAAAGCACAAGGTGTCCACGGCGACGCCTACAAGGTTGGCTTCCTATACAGGGTGGGCTGTCCCGGCCTTACCCTGGGCCAGGGCCCTGTAGGGCTCAATTACGCCCAGTGCGACAAGGCGCAAGAATGTACAAGGTGTTCAGGATTAGCTCTGGAGGTTTGGCTTCCTGTACAGGCAAGACTGTCCCGGCCTTATCCTGGGTCGAGGCCCTACACGGTTGGGTTATGGTCTGTGCGAGAGGGTTCCGACTTGCTAGGGCTAGGATCGTCCTTAAAAAGGTCGGGGTTCGCCTTGTAAGGTGGTCGTCCTTGGGTTTCTCAAGGTACCATGCTATGCAAGGGAGTATCCAGCCACTCCGTAACGTCACATTATTATATGGGTGGTATCGCCGAACAGAATTTACACACCCTGCCACACCACATTCTTTATAGGCGTACACGTCTGACGGCTCGTCAAAAACGAGACGCTGCGGGTGGCGCTGGTGACAAGCTTAAACTACCACCGACCCCCGAGGGGCTGCCGGCGGGAGCGATACCTGCTTCGATATACCACTGTAATTGTTACCGCGCGCAAAAATTATTGAACTTTTCACACGGCGGACCATCTCGACATCGAGAGAAAGAACGTCACAATAGCCTATAACGTCCTTCTCCTCTCTCTCTATATCTACGGTGAGGAGATGAGGGCACGCGGCCGTGTATCCCATGGTGAACAAATATATGCCCCGCCGGCTACATGTGTACATGGGCCAAACAAAAACACTGTTTGTTTTCGATAAGTGCAAAGAACACACCGGGCACGCGGTAGGGTCAAATATGAGCGTCCCTGTTGACACGAATGGCCCGACAGCAAAAAGAATTCTGTACCTGTTTTGTGAGAAAAAAACGGGAAAATGCCCTCGCGCATGACATGCTCTTCCAAGAGAGCTACATACATAAAGTGAGACAGCAGGGTACTTTCATCAGGATCAGCAACAAAAAAGAACGTCACTCGGCCGCTCACCCAAAATCAGTTGATCCGTGCTACCCCATGTAGGCCGGCGAAAGGATTTCAGAAACAACCACGCAGTCCCGCCCAACCCTCTCCCCCTCTCCCTCGAGCGCCCGCACACATCCCACACGCTGCACGCCGGCGCCCCATCGCTCCACCAACTCCATCCATCCCAAATGCTTAAGAAAACTCTACCTCCTCTCCGCGTTTGTCCGCGTTTGTCCGCGTGTGTCCGCGTGTATCCGGCGCATGCACATGACTATAACTTTTTCCAATTCGCCGCAACATGTTATTATTTCGTCTACCTCAACAACCTCATCAAGTATGTAGATCGCCAGTGGCAAAGCGCACATTTTCTCCGCAGGGTTACCGCTGTACCTCCTGTCGGAACGTCGAGCGCCGGGGGGTTGTTACTGTAGATCTCTCATCATTTTAGGGCAGGGAAAGTTGGGAACACATTTGGGCTCTGCGAACACAACCGTACGGCCTAGATGTTTACAAAACCTTAGGTTCAACGTCAAGCATTCATCTGTATGTACATGGAATAAAGTTCTAGACAAAAGACTCTCGGTTGATGCTGTGGTGGAATTCATTCAAGAGAAAGCGGTCGCACGGCCCGTCTCCCGGCGACGCCAGCCTGAACTTGTGTCGCCACACTTGGCGTCCGCTCCGACCACATCGTTCAGGTTCACACATCCATTCACGATCGGCAGGCGGATGCTCGGGCACTGGACAGCGATGGTACATGTGCACATGCCGCCGATTGCGGCTGAAGGGAACACAGTCGGGCGCCGTCTACCTCGCAGGACCAAGACCGGGTGCAATGTGACGGGGTCGGGACTACGTTGGTTCCCAACACCTCCGGAGACGTAGTCGAACGCCATCACCCGCGATGTCAACGGGCGGTCGTGGGGTCCTTGGCGCGTGTTCCCTCTGTGCTCGGAGAAGTAGAGGATGCGCGCCAACGAAAGGCCCGACGCCTGAGCGGGTCCATGATGTACATCGTCGTCGAAGGGCTGCTCCTTGAAGAATTTCACGTCCTCTCCACATCCCTCGCCCAGCCACCAATCCCCACGGGGTGCCGTTCGAGTCGACGCTCTGACATCGCCCCCTTCCCACCGGCCAAGGCCGCTGCTTACCCGCAGAGGAGCCCGTGCTTGAACCGCGTGCAAACGATGTCCTTTTCGTCGAGCGTGGACGAGTTCAGCCAGCAGTCGGCACAGCGCGGTTCTTCGCATAACGCACCCCCATCCGCACGACTGCAGCTGAAGTATGAGTTGTACGCCCCGATCAACGTCTTTTCATCGGGACGAAGAGGCCCGTGGAAATGCGGGACTCCCACCCGCCTCCGCCGGCGTCGTTGCCCCTAGGCGACCCGGCCTCCCACAGCACGCTTGTCCAGGTTGCAGCGCCGGGGAACTTAGCAGCACGTTGAGCAGCCGTTGGGGTGCCAGCAGCACGAGCGTCCGTCGGGGCGCAAGACAACCCCCTCGGCAGATCATCACCCAACGACCGCAGCACCGCAGAGCAGCCGGAACCAGCCATGACGGTCTCCACTATATACTTCTTCAACCTGCGGTCGAATCTGGTGACCTCCCACGGAATTTCTTCATCAAGAGCATCGATGGCGAGGTCCATGTTGAACCGGCGCGCGTAGTGCGCAGCGGCGTTGCGGCCGCTGTTAGAATGGTTGACCTTCTTGTTCCCTTGGTGCGCAGCTTCGCCCGTGCTGGCATCAGGCATGTGGCCTGCCAACGCGTATATGTACGGATACAACACAACATGTCCCCACCGCATCACATAGGAGAAACGCAAAAAGGGGGGGGGGATCGGCGTTCCACACGGATCGGCGATCACATAACATTGCACGTACAAGAAATTAGAATAAGGCGGGTCGTTCTACTTGGACAGTCTCAAGAACCTGAGAGAAACTTCTTCATTCATTCTCTCAATGGCCTGGACGTAGTGCAGAGCAGAGAGCACGGTTTTCCTCACGCCTCCCCTCCCTAGCAATTCCTCATACACCCCCACCTGCACCACAACACACACAAAAAAAAAGGGAAGGCCATTTTGCAATGGAAACTGATGCGCACTTGAACCACATGATGAGAAATGCGCTTGTTGCTGGCGCGAGGACTATGTACCAGCAGAAACTTTGGGTTGATAATTTATTTGTCGTACACCCGGACCTGGGAGGACGATGTTAAAAAAATATATTTGTGATCTACCGTCGCCCTCGTTTAGTCCATGGGAGGGGGGGGGGGGGG